TAATTCGACTTAGAATTTGCAGTGGTAATTAAGTAAATTCTAATAAATAATTTTAATAATAATAATAATAATAATAAATTCGAAAATATCGTGATTTTGTAAAATAATTTTTTTATATGTTGCATACCGGGTTTACGTACGTACGTACATGATTTTGGTGGTGATACTAGGTGCGTTGTTAGGGTACGGCACATTATAATTAATCAAAACTATGTCTGCAAATTCGCAAATCCATTAAGTGCGGATATTTTGATGGTACACTATTCAATTTTTACTAATACGCAAATTTAGTGATGCGATTGGTCGGTAATCACATAATAGATATATGTCGAGTATAAAATTAGATGTATAAACTTATTAATCCATTATTTATAACTCGATCTTTTTTTTATTTATTACAGTAATATAATAGAAACAAAGTTACAGAAAATTTTTATATTAATTTGTACGGATAAAAAAAAATGCAAGTTTTTATATGATTTTATATGGTAAAATACAAAATTGATCTACATTTGCAAAAAAATTTATCAATATAAATTTATTGACCGATCTCTTTTTTTTTCCGGTTGGATCTTTTCCGATTGGATCTTTTCAAGACGTTCCTCTAGTTTATTCATTCTTTCCACTAACAAATCATAATGATTAGCAGGAGCTAATTCCTAAGGGCAAAGATACTATTTTATTTATATAAAAAAAAAAAAGTACCTATCATTTAAATAGGTGGAAGTACGCAATTAATTATAATATGCCGAACCCTAGTGCGTTGTCGTCTAAAGGGTCGAAGGTAATGAAAGAATATCTTTTTGAATAAAATTTTCTTATATACGTTTAAAAGGTCGATGTAAAGAGGTGACATTCTAATAAATATAAATAAAAAGTTAATTTGCTACTAATATTGTATTTAGTTTATACAGTACTTACTAATCCATTTTACAGTGATACTCAGAGTGCGTACCGTACAAAAAAGTTGAACCTTCCCTCTTCTGTCTGGTTATCACCCATGATAATTGTCTCATGAAAGATTTTGTATTCGACTTCTGTGTAAGACGCTTACTTGAACATGACAATGTGTATTGTTTTTAATTTCGTCTTCTTCGATTGTATCGTCTATATCAATAAGATTTCTATCAATATTATTTTCAATATCTGATTCACTTCATTATCATTTCATAAAGTTCATTTTTTAGTCCTGAAAGAGTTGTTTTCTAAATATGTATTATTGATTTTTGAGGAGGACATTTTGAAAATTTTTGACGCTTGTTGATGTTGAGCGCACCCACATTTATAGATAATCTTCATATTGTCACAAAGTTTTTGATAATAGGAGCAATAGGTACTCAGTCAGCCTCCTCTTGTGTACTTTTTTCTTGTAGCACAACTTTCTGAATATTTGATATTGCCGGCGCACCTTTATTCTGTATATCTGATATTGCTGACGCAACGTTACTCTGTGGTATGAATGGTGTAATATTTGTTGTTGATTGGTTTTAGCAAAGCTAAAAGATCGAATACTGTATTTAAAAGGTTGCGCTTGCTGACAAAAGTGCGCGATTTTATGTTGTTTTGAATTTTCCTGATTGGTTTACGTTACACCTGATCTTTGAAATGCTAAAATGTAACTAACATATCATGTGTGTAGTGCAGATAGTGTAACCGTGCGTGCTTAGTTGTTTTTTCGAACAATTGACATAATTTACGTTAAACCAGTAATTGTTATATTGTCAAGATCTCTCTGGTTTAATGTAAAATTATGGATGCCTCCTGAACGCCAATTTGAGTGCTTCAATTTAACTTAATAAATTGAATTCAAAATTGAAATCTTTTCTTGTACAAAAATTTATTTCAAAATTAGAGGGTAGAATCGATGAATAATTACTCGATCGTGGTCAAAAATTTCGAGAATCAAAAATAAACTTTCATTCATTGATTTTTATTTTGATCAATCATCGAGTATCAGTCAAGCTTAAATTTTAACTGTTTTAATAGTGTTAAAATTTTTGATAAGCCTTCAAACTAACATGATTAAATTTATTTAATGTTGAATAAAGGTACTACATATTCTGTTAACATTAACGCTCCTGTAGAGTTCTCTTTTAATAACGAAGAAATCAAATTTAATTGTGCCAGTAAGATCTAATGTAGAGGGAGCTGTTACTGATAGTTCTAAAACAAAAAATTAGATCACGTGTGGGTCTAATAAACGATCCTGGGGTTTGATTCAATCATAGTAAATAATAGTAAATAATGAAGATGTCAATGAAACCTTATATGGAGAACGGCATTTTATTTTAAGAGATCCAAAGTTTATTTACGGAATAACGAGTGGTAGTATTTTCAAAACATAATATTAAGACATGCGAATTATAACTTAACTTCATGCAAATTGTATATTAAATAATTTAATAGTAAAAGATTTAATACTGGGCAGGATTTTTTAAAAATTTAGAGTGTTTCAAAAAAACTCCGGTAATTCAGTATTTGGAGATGATCAACATATCACGTGTTAAAAGGAATTAACGTTAAGTACATTCGAACAAAATTAGCAGTTGATAGAAACCATGACTCAATCTGGGATTCAGGGTCAGTTTTTTAGTCACAACTATCAGAAATAATTGTTGTAATATAAAAATTTATGCTTTTAGTTTTGTACAGTATCTAAAGAACTCGCCGAACTTTTCCGCGATGCTGTCTCAAATGGAAACTACAGGCTTATACGTGTATCAATAGCTAATGGTAAACGAAAATCTGCTTATTGTAACATTTAATTAAACTTGTTTGATCGATACTTGTACTAAAACTATAGTTCTTTAAGAATCCTTAGTCCCAAATGGAACGTTAGAAGTAAAGAATAGCTGGAATGATGGTAAGGGGTTATACGAGTTAAAAAATGTACCGTTCATTTTATTAATTTACTTATCAAAAATGTGTATATAATAGATTTTGTTAGTGTTCAAGAATTTTTAGAAGAAACAATTCCATGCTATATTCTTTATCGGCTTGATACTAAATCATCTTCAGGAGATCATGAATGGATTTTCTTTGCTTATGTTCCTGATAGTGCCAAGGTGAATTTTATTTGTGATAAAATGTCTAAAATTCTGAAATCTTTATTAATTATTGATTCAATTAATATAAATAAAGGTCAGAGACAAAACGTTGTACGCATCCACTCGCGCTACTTTAACAAAAGAGTTGGGTGATTATCGATTCGTAGATTCTATGCATGGTACTGCTATCGTAAGTAGGACTATTTATTAAATCTCGTATTAATTACGTAATTCATCATTGCTGATATCATAATTTTGCAGTCCGATTTCTCACTTAAAGAATATGAAAGGCATAAACGTCACAAAAATGCTGAAGCACCGCTGACTCAGCGTGAAAAAGAATTGGCTGAAGTCAAAGCTGCTGAGGTAAGCTTGAAATATTTTGAATTTATTATGTAAAGATTTTGATCTTATGAAAACATCAAATTTCATAGGCAAGTGCTAGTTCGTATAGTACTTCAACACGAAAATCTCACGTTGCTGGTATTGCCTTTCCTTTATCTGATGAAGCCATAACTGCGATAAAGTCATTGAATCAAAGTGAACTAGAGTTTAATATCGTACTACTTGTAATAAAATTTCATAAATTATCACTTTGTTGTATGTTTCTCTTTGAGCGATCAATCGCTCACGTAAAATTTTTTTTAAACATGTTTTTAATATATAGTCATTGGATGCCAAGAATGAAAGGATTGAGCTCGATTCTACCAGTAAAATCGATATTGATGAATTGGCAAATATTATATCATCTGAAGCGCCAAGATACACCTTTTTTACTTATGAACATTCTCATGAAGGACAAGATATTCGATCTACAGGTAATTATGACTTTTAATAGTACTTTTATATTTTATAATTTTATAGTTATCACAATCACGCTATTTCTACCTCTTTAGTTTTTATATATACTTGTCCAACGTCGTCTAAAATTCGTGAACGTATGTTATATTCATCATGTCGTGCATCTGTGATCTCATATGGTGAGAGTGAATGCGGACTTACGATCGCAAAAAAGGTATTATCATTTACTCTTGATATTAAAGTTCAAATTTGTATTATATTATTTTACCAAAGTTTTTAATACGTTAAATTAGTTGGAAACAAGTGATCCAAAAGATCTTACAAAAGCTTTTGTTTTGGAGGAATTACATCCTCCATCTGAGGTAGCACCAAAATTAGCTTTTTCAAGGCCCAGACCACCTGGTAGAAGAGGTGGTGGTCCAGTATGAATTAATTATTCTCAAATTTAAGCATTGATTGAAAAGAAGTTATATTACACGTTAAAGAAGTTGTTCTTGGCTTCTTGTTTTTGGTTTTATTTTATTTCTTCAGCGTGACTAAAGTAATCCTTACGATTACGTAATGAATGTATTTTAGGAATTCTAAATTTTGGGTTGTAATTTCTTCGTTTGATGGACCGAGCTTTTCACGGGACAGTGAATGTGTAATATATTATTTAAGGAATTTATTTTATTTGGACTTCCCTAAAATTCTCCAATGAATTTTTTTTTTTTTCCACTATGTTTACAGTATTCGAAAACTCAATATTAGTTGATTTATAGTAGTAATATCGTGGTTGACTAAAATGACTAAAGGTTAGATGATCGAGAAATTGCTACGTCTGAACAGCAAACGGTTATGAGGCAGCTCATAACTATATAACAAACTAGAACACGTAATATATGTTCATATCTATGCAAGCCAAATCGCATATGATCCTTCTAATTGTCTGATCTTGCTTTGTTACTTGCTTTGCTTGTTATGGTAATTGTAAGTGCAAACTTATAGAATTACTTTTCACATAGTATTCCATGTCTAGCGTTCTTACAGAATTTTTATTATTACCGTATTACCGCGAAATAACGACCGTTATTTCGAGGTTCGGCCCGAATTAATCTTAATTTAGGCCGGAATTCATAATTTCACCTCTGCGCGTTATTTCGCGGTAATACGGTAACCAAAATTAACATCAATAAAAAAGTATATACAAGTTTTATATTGTTTAAAAAAGTAGGATTAAAGTGACTAAGCCAACAAACATAATAACAAATAACAAAGATATATAAAAATAATCAGAACCAATTAATCATTAGCTTGATTAAAGGACAAGAGAGAATTATAATGACTATATAGCTATCCAGCCATTAGAAAATGTTTGTGCATCATATATTTTCTCAAGCTTGTTAGACGGCGCGTCGTGTCATTATTTGGGATGTTAAATGGTGTTTCGGGTCAAGTATCCAAAACTTATTTGGAATTATTCGAAACTCAGCTCAAAGTTCGAAGACTTAAGTTCCAACAATCTATTGATTTTTAATTTGGTACCGATTTTTGTTAGAAGTTTCTATTTCTTAATTAGCATAATCACGTAAGTATTAATTTAAAAAAACAACCCGAAATTACGTGTATAAATTGAATTAAAAGGTAAAAGGCAAAAAATCAAGGTAATAAAAAAACAAAAGCGATCAATTGGTGTACAAAATTTTATCGGCTTCAAGCAATATACGGAGCTTAAACGGCCCCTTCTTTACCTTACTAGAATAGCTATTCGTTATGAAATATGACGAAGAGTAGATACAAAACATGCAAGACATTATGTGAAAAGATCTGCAGGCGGAACTTGAGAAATTGGGATAGCCCATAACTAAGTTACAGCTTTTTACTTTAAATTGCGATGCCGATATAAATATTTATGTTATAACTTTTTATAAATACGTAACTCAATTTTATATATCGTAACTTGCCGTATAGTAAACATATATAATTATTTTTTTATATGCAGCAGATTTTATTTATTAATAAACATATAGCAAATACAGTATATATCGATATCAATATATATGTCTATTACAATCAATGTTTTGTTATTCTATTGCTTATTTATTATTCCATTTCATAATAACTTGTATGTTCTACTAGCATTATCTAACTCGACAGACTTCTGTTAATTGTGCTTGGCCGTTTTGACCGATTTTTGATGATAATTGAAGGTCTTGTTCATTGTTTTCTTCGTTAAAAATTCGAGCTACTACACTGGCAATCATAGTAGTGCAACAAAAAAAAAAATTTTTTACATCATACTACCTCCCACAATTCCGGGCATATCGGGTAGTTTTTTTTTTATTTTATTCACCAATAGTGCATTTTTCTAATTTTAGAATTTTAGGGGCATCAATACAAGGACATGTAAATTTTTCGAAAGAAATTTTTTGAAAGAAATCAAAATTTTCTGAAATTTGGCCAAATTTGGAAATTTTTGGCAAAATCATAAAAAATCACAAAAATAATATTATTGGCCAAAAAAAAATACCGAAGATCACATGATAATACAGTAATAATATTATTGGACGAGAATAACATAAAAAAAATTTTTTTTAAAGTTGACTTCGAAATTTATCAAAATTTTTGCACAAATTGATCAAAATTTAACGAAATTTTGCATGAAATTTATTGAAATTTTTGCATAAATCAATTGAAATTTTTGCTTCAAATCGAAAGAATTTTTATGTGTTCCTGCATCAATAATACTGATGCAAAAATAATCACATGTGTATCATGAAACACGTGTTGCATTACTTTTGCTTGTTTTTAACAAGGATTAGATCACGTGATCTGTATGACATAAATAAATTTAAAAATGTAAATCTTATTGTTGATTTTGCATCTTGTACGATGCTAGAATTTATTGATAATCAAGAAAAAAAAGAAGGCCAAAACAATTCCCACTAAACAAGCCCAAGTGTTGCTCTGCTGCAGAAAGGGTACACGACAAGGACAGTAGGTTGGGCCTATAATATTTTGTTTTCTACAGTCTTGTAAATCAAAAAAGGTGGCTCATTTGAATATTTGGTCACCCAACTTCATTGGGTGAACCAACCAAAAGAAGAATAGTAAATTTTATTATCTCTCATAAGTGCTCTACTGCCATTAAAGTGAGGTTTATCTCACAAAAAATGCATATATGGATATTTTGGTATCTACAATTTGTCATATACTTTGTAGTTACAGGTTAGTATTAGAGTAAAAAAAAAAAAACTGTATTTGAGCAACAGTTATCAAAAAGCACAACTCATTTTTGCAAAGAAATACGAAAATTGGACTATTGATGATTGGTCTAAAATAATCTGGTCTAATGAATCTAGATTTAAAATTTTTGGGTCAGATAGTAAACAATACTAATGGAAGTGTTATAGAGAACCATTAAATAAGTTCCATATGAAGCCCACTGTAAAATATGGTGGTGGTTTAATTATAATTTGGGGTGCTTTAGTGCCTATGGTGTTAGTAGCTATTGCAAGGTTGATGGCATAATGGATGGCGACTTGTATTAGCAAATACTTCATGAAGACCTAATGTGGACAATCAGAGAATTTAATATTAGAGAGATAATTTTCCAATAAGATGGAGCATCTTGTTATGCTGCAACCATAACAAAATATTTGCTTAAAAGGAATAAAGTGAAGTTCTTCAATTGGCCCAATCCCTGATTTGAACCCAATCAAAAACTTATAGAATGAAATCAACCATCAGTTAAGGAATCTCCCTGGACAAATTTCGAGTAAGATGGATCTTTGGTGAAAGATTCAAGAGGTCTGGCAATTGATTGATGTTGAAACCTGCAGAAGGCTAATTCGTTCGATGCCAGACTGGATTTATGCTGTAATTAGAGCTCAGGGGAGAGTATACCTGATTATGAAGGTGGAGAGATTTTAAATAGAAAAAATATATATTTTTTTTATATAAAAAAAATTTTCTGTTTTACAGCCATGTTGCTGCAAAAATGAGCAAAAAATGCAACATGGCATTTGGAATAAAGCTCATGCCTACAAAAAATTTTGTATATTAAATTTTTTTGTTTTTTTATTGATAATAACGTTGGTATTGATGAATAAAAAAAAAAAAAAAAAAAAAAGAATATATTTGGAATTGTGTGAGATAATGCAATATAACAAAAAAAATTTTTTGTTGCACTACTTATAATTGCCAGTATATATTTACTGTATTGTAATTAAAGCTTTTTGAACCTACTTGTTGAGTATTATAATTTAATACCATATTCATATTATTACTAAATGAATTATTATTGTCTACCACAATGCTTTTTTTTAGGCTGATTAGATAAATTTTTGGATGTTCTATAGAATAGGTGGGTAATCATTAATAGATATTTAGCAGAGTTGTGGAGTTTGCAGAGTTTGCCCACCTATTCTATAAAACATCCAAATTTTCTTTATCAGATATGTTATTTTGATTATAACAATTTCATTTTGCTTTTGAAGCAATTTTAATTGTTGCAAATTAGATAATTAACATATGAAAAGTTGATTGATATTATAATTTAATTTAGATAAAGGTGAATACAAACTATTATTATTTAGAACTTTATTATTTGTATTTATTGTGAAAAAATTTTTCATTAATAAACTAAATTTAAAAATAATAATTTATATATTATTTTTATTACATCATAGCAATGGCAATGTTAATTAATTATATATATATATATCTAATCATTACATATATTGATTATAGTTTAATGTAATCATATGATAGTTTAATATAATTATATGATAGTTTAATATAATTATTATTACAAAATTTTAATAGTATTTGGGATTAATATAGTATTTGGAATTTATACAGTTTTTGCCATAACCATAACCATAACTTGCTATGTGTTGTACAGTTTATTAAAATTGTTCTGCCTGCATCTCTAGCTACTATTCATAGTCAAATAAACTTAACAGACATTGCCATTTATAAATACTTGATTTTGATTTATTTTAGTTAATTTTCTAATAATTAGTGACAAGTACAACAATAGATCAAAATGAAGATCTCAATCACTGTTTGAGAGGATTTTAAATAGTTGAAAAGCATAGATATAATTGGCCATGTGATTGAAAGAATACCAGCACTGAAAATAAAATTAATTAAAGGACTTTAAGTCTGCAGAATATATTGCTGCATTGTGAGTAATATGAACTGAATAATTTGAGCTAAGTGATTTGAACTGAAATAATAATATACTCTCGGGAAATTAGCAAGTAAGATTGCACCCAGGTATTATTATAACAGTAAAATAAGTAAGAAGCAGCATCAGCTAGTGGTTTCCCACCTGCTCAAACTGCTTGAAGCAGGCCAACTATTAAATAGAAAAATAGCAGAATTAGGAAAGTGCTCTTCTGCATGTAGTGAGAAAGGTTGGGTTAAGAAAATAATGGTTATAATGCTTGATTGTAGTGCTCTCTATTGAGCTGGCTCAAATAGGCTCATAGAAATTTTGGTCTGGCTCATTTTTGGCTTGAAAGGCTCGTGAGTTTTAGTACAGATCATGTGAT